CTTCATTAACGGGGAGTTACTGGCGGCAAATCGTGAGCTGGGCTTTGAGATGTCTCCGTCTGATCTGACATACGAACAGGTCGAGGGCTACGTTAAGGTGGCTGGATCGACACAAGTTCAATTTCGTTTGATGGATTTGAACTATGGGTCTCGAATTACGCATAGATTTTCCGTCGTCAACGATGCCAAGGACGAGATGGTGATCGGGCGGGATCTATTAAGTGCGCTTGGGGTAATTGTTAATTTCCGCGATGGGATAGTGGAATGGAATGGCAACACGGTGGCAGTGAACACGGGAGACAAGTCCACAGCAAGTGATGAAAATGGAGGTCCGAACATACAGGAGGAAGTGAAGGAGATCAACGACACCTCTGTGGCGCCTGAAGCTATGGTCGGGACAGCAGAAATTGATCAGTCCACATACGAGCAAGTAATCAAGCTGCTTAAGCAATTCGAGCAATTGTACAATGGGCATTTAGGGCGGATGAAGTTTCCTGACTATATTCTCCCTATGGCAGAGCAGTATACACCAATACAGGCTCGCCCATATTCAATTCCAAGGAGCGAAGAAAACGCAGCGAGAAAAGAATTGTATCGACTCATGCAGCTCGACGTGTTGGAGCAGATATTCGATAGCGAATGGGCTTCTCCGGCTTTCTTCTTAAAGAAACCAGATGGGCGTCTGCGATTATTGACCGACTTCCGAGCTTTGAACAAGTTTTTGAAGCGTAACCCCTATTACGTGCCGCTAATTCGGGAAGTCTTGATACGTCTGGGCGGAGCGAAGTTCTTCTCCTCTCTGGACGCTAATATGGGATACTATGCTAGGCAGTTGGCAGAAGAAAGCAGACCGTTTACGGCATTCTGTACACCGTACGGGAAATTCCAGTATAAGAGACTCCCAATGGGGATCTCAACGGCGCCAGATGAGTACCAGGCGTGCATGTCTAGAATTCTGGGCGATTTGGACTTTGTTGTCGTCTATTTAGACGACATACTCATCTTCTCTAAAACTGCAGAAGATCATTTGGAGCATTTACGGGTGGTGTTCTCGCGTCTACAGAAGTTCAACGTGACGCTTAATGGTAAAAAGTGTCGAATTTTCTGTGCAACTGTGGAGTACTTGGGATTTACGATCAATGCAGACGGGATTAAGCCTCAGGAAAAGAAGATCCGTGCCATTCTCCAGATTCAGCGGCCGAAGAACAAAAAGGAACTACGTCGGTTTATCGGTATGATAAACTACTACAGGGAGATGATACCAAGAAAGACGGCGATGCTGAAGCCACTAACACGATTGACGTCTCCAAAGACGGCGTTTCAGTGGACATCCAGCGAGAACAATGCTTTTGAGGAGATTAAGAAGGCGTTGGCCAAAGCAGTACTACTGACATTCCCCAATTTCTCGAAACCTTTCGAGATATATGCAGATGCAAGTGGAAAGCAGTTGGGTGGATTGATTGAACAACAAGAAAAATTAGTAGCAGCTTACTCTAGAAGTCTCACTACCGCGCAGCAAAACTATACGACGACTGAACTAGAGTTATTATCGGTGGTGGATATCTTGAAAGAGTATAGAACAATGCTGCTTGGATTTCCTATTGTGGTCCGCACGGACCATAAAAATCTCATTTATCCAACCGAGAATTCATTGCGGGTCAAGCGATGGAAATTGCTACTATCTGAATATCATCTTACCTGCGAGCATATTCACGGAAAGGAAAATGTTGCTGCAGATGCATTTTCTCGACTGGCGTGCGACTCGGAGCAGAAGATGGGAGAGACTGAGCTGGAGGCGCTCTTGATTGATCCTGTTGAGTGTGTTCTGGAGGGCAGCTACATCAAACAATACCAAAATGAAGATTCCGCTATCCAAGACATACTCCAAGCCTGCATGAATGGTACAAACGACCCGGATTACAAGATACAAAATATCATGGGTGCACGTCTATTAACTTACCAGAAGCGTGTATTAATTCCCACCGAATTACGTCAAGAACTGGTCGATTGGTATCACACTCAATTAGTACACCCTGGTGCCAAGCGCCAGTATCACACGATGAAGTCATTCTTTTATTGGTCGGGAATGAAGCAAACAGTGGTGAGCTTTGTGAGGAGATGTCTTACATGCAAGAGAGCCAAACTCCACGGTGGACCTCAGGATTATGGCAAGTTACCACCACGAGAAATGCATACAGTCGATCCTTTCGACGTAGTGCATGTGGATACCATGGGGCCTTACGGTAGTGATCGCTACTACGCGCTAACAGTGAATGACGAAGCTACAAGATGGCTAGAAGTCTCCATTCAAGAAAATAATCGTGGTAAAACCACTGCAGAGAACTTTGACGTGACGTGGTTATGCCGATATCCAAGACCAAAAGAGGTTGTGTTTGATCAAGGCAACGAATTTAACACTACAGAGTTTCGAGAAATGCTTGCCAGCTACGCGGTCAAGCCAAAGCCAATCTCCACCAAGAACCCTCAGGCAAACGCCATTTGTGAGCGAGTCCATTTAGTCATTAACAATGGTATTCGATGCTACCCGGAAGCAGATTGGCGACAAGTGATTCAATATGCAGCATTTGCAGTACGTGCGAGTTATCACACGATTTTGGGTACAACACCAGCACATTTAGTCTTTGGGCAGGACCTGATAACGCGGCAGCTTCATGAAACGAATTGGAGCTATCTCACGAAGCGCAGATTTGAAGCAATACTGAGAGATAATGATCGTGAGAATGCTACGCGTTTGGAGCATTTCTATCATCCTGGAGATCAAGTCATGATGCGAGTTGCAGCTAAGGATCGAGGTAACAAGCATCGTCAGGTGGCCAAAGGGCCATATTCTATTGTCGAAGTGCATGCTAACGGCACCGTAACGCTGGACTACGGTGTGACGCAGCAACGCGTCAACATACGCCGTCTCTTTCCGTGTTAATCGACAACTGGCATGGGGGTGAATAACAAGACCGTCACCTACAGTAACGGTGATCGCTATGGAATGCCAGCTGACGCACACTACGTGAGACTCAGAATTCTATTTTTCCTTTCCCATATTGAAGTGCTGTAGTGGACAGCCACGCAGCAGATAAGTAGGAAAATACATTGTGCTTCTTCGTTTGTCAAAGCTAAGTCCTCTGCAAGCCAAGACTTTCAGCTTAACCCTTGCTGAGAACCCCGCTGCGAGCCAAGGGTTGTCAGTAGAAAGCTAGGTATTTGATATCGTATGCAACATCGTAGGCGAACGGCACTCACCTGGGTTTGATAAACTGTTTAGTAACGGGCATCAGCGTGATTTTCGTGCGCTGGCCGTACACAATGCGATCAGACCACTGTCCCGTCGTCCTGTCAACGCCCCCGAAAAGATAGAAATCATTGTAATGCCGTATATCGGCTTATTTTTAAGGCTGGTTTTGTCAAATTCGACGATATGTCCTTCGTCACAAACAAAGTATACAATGCAGCTAGAGAGCATTCACAAATTAAGAGTATAACAAAACATTTTCACCTTACATTTTCCACAGAGCAGCTCCTTTGAGCACAGCCCTCGGCATGCGACGTACCAGACCGACACGGTGTTCCCACTGACCTTGCCCAAATGTGCGGCCTGGGGATGTGATCCTCGCATACACCACGCAAGCATGAATCGTAGGGCTTTGGGTAGTAAGATATTTTTCTTTGAGAATCACGAGCTCACGAAAATGC